TAAATTCTAGGACACCCTAAAAAAATTTGCCGAAGTCCATTCGGCTGAATTTGATTTCGGTATGATTAGTGCGTGATTAGTGATACGGGCCGATGAAAAATCTGCGGGTCGAGGGCCGATACAGGGTGGGTCGACCCGGGTCGACCGGGCCAGTTTTTTACAATATATAATTTTTTAGCCAATCAAATTACAAAACGTTTACAATTTTTTTTTTAACGTTTTTTAACGTTTTTTAACGTTTATAATTTTTTAGATTTCGCGACATTTTAGATTTGTGACGAATAGATCTAGATGGATCTAAAACACATACTCTAAGTTATGTACATACTTTATCCTATAATTAACCTCCAACTATGATAAAAACCTATATAGTATGAGCGAAGAACAAAAAAAAAGGTACCCGCAAGCTGATTTTACTAAAAAAAAAACCTTTACTCAAGCCCGGGATAAACGTTGAATAGATCCGAATTTGTTTTTAAGAACAATATGTCATGCACTGTACTTGGATCTAAACGATTTCGTTTTTTTGTTAGAACATTACCTGCATCAGAGAATAAATGTCCAGAAGGTACGGAAGTTGCTGGAAAAGCAAGAAATTTTCGGGCTAACATTGCTAAATTTGGGTAATCCTTTTGATGCATACTCCACCAGGTAAGAGGGTTGTGGGTTTTGTAAAGTGGGTGGTCTATGTGATATTTATTCATTTGTATTGCTTGTTCATACCATTCTAATTCATTATCTAATGGATAATCAGATTGATTATCACCATCGAAAAATTGATCCATTTCAGTTTGTTCTGGGGTATTAATAGTATTTGTTTTTATCATTTCTGCAATCATTTCTTGAACTTCTTTTTTTTTTTCTTTGTCAAAGGACATACTTTTGAATCGAGGATCTAGGTAAGAAGCAATGTAAGCCTTCATTAAAGGTGCTTCCCAATGTTTAGTCATAGAATCTTCAATTTGATGACAAATATTAAGGATATTGGATGAAGTTAGTGACTCTTTCATTTGGTACAAGTGTGTGAATAAAAGGGAGATAGTAGGAAGTATCATGCTAAGGGTTGGATATTGTGTTCCTCCAATTAATTTTGTTGTTTGAGCAAAAGGACCTAAAAGTAATGTTAGTTCCTCTAATTCCATCCATTCTGTGTTTGTGAGTAATTTTTCACTTAAAGTTTGTTCATTCTTTCTTTGTTGAAAATCAGGATGATGACGTAAAGACCTTGTGAGTTGCTCTACAGCATCTCGTAATTGAAGTAACCTTTTTAAGACCAAAAAAGTCAAATTCCATCTGGTCTTTACATCACGAATGGGTTCGACGATGGATAAGTAATTTTTTTTTGTGATTGTGATGTTGTTGGTTGTTCTAATGATTCAATCAAATCTTCAGGTTCTGATTCAGAATCTTCATCTTCCAATAGTGGCTATTCTGTGTCTTCCAAGGCACTTTCTGACAACTGATTAAATTCATTTTGAATATTACGAAGACTTTGATGATATCGATCTCTCTTTACTAACCAATTGTTTAATTTTTTTGCCCTATTTAAAAGATCATTACAAGCATTAAGTCCATCTTTAATGGATAATTGAATCGTATAGGCAGTGCAACATATATGAGGTGTTCTGAGAAGCCACATTTCTTTAACAATTGATTTATCATTATCAGTTGTTTCTCCAACCAATTTATCACATATATTCCAATATTCAAAAATCTTTGATAAAAATTGTTCTTGGCGTTCTTCTGAGTGTGAATAAGGAAATTCCTCTATAGTTAACACTGCTTGATATAATTTAAAATTATTTGAAAGCCAATGTATAGTTACACCAATATAAGGACGATGCATACTGGTCCACATATCTGTGATAAAAGAAAATGTTTCCATTGTTTCTGATATTAAATTACGCAATTGATCTTCAGCAAAGAGCACTGATTCTCTAATTTTTGTTTTAATTAGAGCTGAGTTAGGAACCTTAAAACAAGGATCCATCTCATAACAAAATTGTCAAAAATATCTTCCTTCCACAATGGTCAATGCTTGACAATCATCAACTATCCATGCAGTCAAACGATATAATAATTTTTGTTTCTTAACCGGCTTATGAGCTTCTATTTTTGAAAACATTGAAGGTATAGTCGGCATTGATTTATCTGGATCTATTATTGTTTGTCCATCTGAATTTTTTCCATATTGTTGATAAGAAAAAATTTTGTGGACAGAATTGAGGTGTTTACCAAGGTGCGTGGTTGATGTTGCAATACTAAATGTTTTATCACATTTTTTTTCATTTCCATTTAGTTTAGTTATAACTACATCACATCTAATTTTTTTTTTTTGATTTGTCCTTTTTCATATTATCTCAAACCCAACTAGGAGCCCTTGCTGCTAATTTTGTTTTATTTGATTTGCTTACATGATTTGTTAATATTTTAACATCTAGAACTTTAAAGATTGATCAATCACAATTACTTAATGATCCTCATTTTGTTCTTGAGATGAAAAATGAAGTGGCGAACCCATATTATATGATGTTTGGTAGGGTTCCTCAAAGTCGAATCGAATCGAATATTTTGTCAATTTGAATTTGATTTGATTTGAAATTTCTGTATTTG